GTCGTCGCTGCCGTCTGGGACACACACGCGCCTGTGGGCCATGTCGAAATGGGCGCGCTGTGGTTGCCCTCCTGCGATGGCCGCCTGCAGCGCCCGCTTAGGGGTCATTGCCACCGCGCCTTTGGGCCGTCTGTCGTCGGCCGCGTCCCCGCCTGGCTCTGGGCTGCTTGATTCTTAGATGTGCTGCACCGGCCACGCCAGGCGCCTGGTGGCTGGTGCCTCCTGGCGTCGCGCGCCATGTTGGGCCTCTCGCGGCGCGCCCTTTGCTGGGCGACCCTACGCCGCCATGCTACTTAAGCCGCTGGCCGAGCCAGGCCTTCATGCCCGGTTGGTGGCGGCCACGCCTTTAGTCTTATGAAGCACTTGTTAATTTAGTTGCGGAAATAGACTTGTAAAATTTGTAGTAAATCATAGAAAAATCGTAACAATGACAAACCAGTTTTGTTAAGTTTCTAAAATCATGATCTACCTAATAGTGTATTTTATCGCATAGGTTTGGTATGTATTTAGGGTTGCTCTAATTGATTTAGAGTGCTTAATATGATGAAAAGGTGAACTTGTACAAATTTCCGTGATAAATCGGTGATAGTATTAACTCTAAAAATTATACAGTAAATTACTAATATTATTATCTGCTCACTATAATTTTTGTAGCTCCAAAATAATTAGTTGCTGGATAGATAATAATGCCCTATTTCATATAATAATTAAATCGATAGAATGAAATAAAGAAACAACTTGGGTTTGCATAACTAAAACATTGGTTGTGAAGTAAAGCCTTATTCGACAACATGGATACGTAGCTTGGTACGTTAGTCGTTAGAACTAGCTCATTAACTTGAGAGGCGTAAACCGTATTTTTACGAGTCACGGTTGCAGTCGATTAATTATGTCTTTGCATTGCATCCCATTGCATATCATATAGGTATGATGATGGAACAACTGATCAATTGAAGGAAGATTGGGAATCCGGAGATGGTGTAATGGTATTCTCTCCAGGAGATGATGGAATGGGCTTTCTATTCAGATGATGGTGGATGATCTGAAGATGCAGATACTAACTTTTTAATATATATCTTACGTAGGCAAGCCCAAGTGCATAACCTCTACTTTTCTGCAGTTTAAATTATATTTGTGCATTAAGTTTTAAGGAGTTGATTGAAACCCACTTGCATATATATATCTTTATCCTATGAGTCTTACTAGTATGTTAGGATCGTGTAGAATGCTATGCTATAGGACTCTGATAAAAGTTGAGTGATTGTCTGTCACTCGCGAGAGATAGGAAATATATTACTGTATTATTATCACTTGGAATATGTAAATGGTGGAAAGGAAAATGGTGACCGGTCAGGGATATGGTTTGGTTATTGGTGGGTGTAAGAGGTTGTGTCGCCGTGGACACGGGGCATGGCTTGGTTACACTGCTTTCCCTGTCTGTGTCGGTTAAGGACCGGACATTGCATAAGACTCTAGGCAAGTCACAGACTTATTATCCTGAGCACATACTTGGGTATGGACGCTTGGAAGACTTGTTGCTCTCTTGTCGTAGGTTCCGGCTCTTTCCAGGCCAGCTGTCAGCGTTTCTTTTTGGTGGAGGAGGTCCTTGCGCCGCATTGAGTCCGAGACTCAGGGGCGGGGGCTTGGAGTCCCAGTTTGGACGGGGACCTAGGACCCCAGGACAGGAGGGTGATGGGTTGGTCCTGCTTGTGCCTTGGGTACAAGCGTGGCGTGTGTTTTCGGGGTACCCAGTTGGGGGCATTGATTCGCGAATCGCTGGCTTGTTGAAGGTTCTCCCGATCGAAGGGTCGTGAGCCTGAGGAAGGTCCTAGCTAACTTGGCTTGCAAGCTACACCATTTTGTGGAGCACGTTTGGCCTTGGTTGTCGTCATGGTCTTGTGGCCACATTGTGGCATGGTGTGACATGGTGCTACTGTGCCGGTTGTGGCAGCACTGTAAGCACGGTGGTGGTTCGCCAGCCGTCCTGTGCGACATGGTCGTCGCCATGGTCTTTGTCATCGCCTCCTGGTTTCTGGGGGTGTTGTACAAGAGTTAGTAGCTGCCCCTAGGTCGGTGATCGTCTCATTGGTTTGAGGAGCTGAGGGCCACGGTCCCAATTGTTGGAGTCATGGCTCCCGTCGGGTTGGATGGCCTCTAAGTCAAGGCCTTTATCGTGGATCCCATCCCGTGGACGCGGGGCATGGCTTGGTTACACTGTTTTTCCTGTCTGTGTCGGTTAAGGACCGACCATTGCATAAGACTCTAGGCAAGTCATAGACTTATTATCCTAAGCACATACTTGGGTATGGGCGCTTGGAAGACTTGTTGCTTTCTTGTCGTGGGTTCCGGCTCTTTCCGGACCGACTGTCAGGGTTTTTTTTGGTGGAGGAGGCCCTTGCGCCACGCTGAGTCCGGGACTCAGGGGCGGGGGCTTGGAGTCCCAGTTTGGACGGGGATCTAGGACCCCAGGACAGGAGGGTGATGGGTTGGTCCTGCTTGTGCCTTTGGTACAAGCGGGGCGTTTGTTTTTGGGTACCCAGCTGGGGGCATTGATTCGCGAATCGTCGGGCGATCCGGGACGGCTTGTTTCGTGTCTAGCACCGTAGTTAGAACTGAAGATGAAAGATGGAAGATGAAAAAAGGAAATCTGATTGCTTACCACATGCTTGAAAGTAGCACAGGTGCTTACATAGAATGGTTAGTTAATGAACCAATGCGGCTATTAATAAAAATCGAATATAAGGACGCACGCTTAGTAATGCTTCCTGTAAATGCAATAAACCCACAAGCCAGATAGCCTTGCATATCGTTGGAGTCTTATCTTTTCTCCTGTCGGGTAAGTCTTGCTGAGTACAATTGAGTACTTAGGGTTTTATTCCCCCTGTTGTAGGTGACAGGTGGATGCAAAAGCTGACTCTTGTGTGTGGATTCCTTCTGGTGGGCTCAGCGAGGATTCCTTTACGCTGCGATCGTAGTTGTTATTTATAATTCTCACCAAATGCTTTTATAAATGAAAGGTTCATAATCTGTTGTCGTAGTTTATATATCAATACTTCATCAGGTCATAAATAGATATTTACTTCCGCTGTAATGCTGATCACATGTTTATATTCCGCTGTTCAATTAAATTGTTCATAACTCTGATAATATGATTATATTATGCTGTTATAATAATAAATATTGTACTCTGATGTTGTATTAAAAGTGGTGTAAGAAATGGTTAAGAATGATGTAAGCTTTATTCTCTCATTTGTGATCTTGATGGTAAAAATGTGGATTTTCGGGTTCTTCCCTGGGGTGTGCCCGACGGAACCGTGTAGTTTGGTGTCCTGCTTCGAGTGCTTAGTATCTAATGCAAGACGAGTACTCCTAGGAGGCATTAGATTATGCGGTTCTACCACAGTCTCCCTACACCGACGTCTCCGCGCAAACCCACTTGGATGGATGCCACGCATCCGAGGATGTCCACCACGTGGCCATGGGTAGAGTTTTCAGTTGTTTTCTAACCATCGAAGTTTTTGAACCTCGGCCATCGGAGGAGCTGCACCACGTCTGGCCGTGCGATGGATTTTACTTGAACATGTAGCTTCCATCCGAGTGGGCCTGCACGGATGTGCCGGTGCAGGGAGATTGCACCCAATTTTTTCCGCCAAACGGGGAGGATCAACCCACTGAGGAGCCATTGAGGGCCTGTATGGAACGCGGGAAAATTCTCCTGTTCCTGTGTTTTTCCTGTGAAATTGAACTGATTCCTGTAAAATTCCTGTGCGATTCCTGTAAAATTCCTGCGTTCCAAACAGACCCTGAACATGACGAGTAAAGAAAATGGCAAAGGCAAACAGACGTGACACTTCAAAGATTGTCCGACTTTGCGTGCACGAAAACAACGAACGAATGCAACCGAAGTGCAGAACACACAATACGGGCCATCATCTTTAGATCGTATCATGATTTGGCTCATGCATGGGACATGAAGCCTGCTATAGATATGGCATTTTCCATGATAATTGATAAGAAACCCGAACCTGCACTGCACTCTTACAACTGAGGGAGTTGGAAAATCTTGGGTGTTTCGCTGGAGTACTGTGTGCTACTGCCTACTGGACACTTTGAAGTGCGACAGAAGCAAAATTTGCAAAACAGCACGCTTTTTGAAAGCATGCATTTTGCTTTGGAATAAAGCGAAGGCAAGAGGCACTCCATCATTTTGTATTTGTTTGCTTGCAATCATATAGGGATCAACCATTGCTCTATCAATTTACCATACGAAAGTATCATCATCACCTGGTTTCCTGCTTGCCTGCTGGTGGTGGTGGAAGCTGGTACAGGCGGCCACAATATTTTCTGGGAAAGAATTGGAACATGACATTTTTTAATTTTTCTAACGAGATGGTTTGTAGTAGTCTAGTAGACAGTATATTAAGCAGTAATCATACGGCATCATGCCGCAATAATACACAACTCTGGCAGCCGGGCAACACAAGCCGTAGCAGGTAGTGTAGACACTGTGGAACAACAGCAGAGGGACGATGGCAATTATGCAATAATAAAAAGGGCTCTCTGCGTTTGTACCCTTATTTTGATATCGAAATTATGATTTTGCCCTTATTTTTTTACTTTGTGAATTTACCCATATGATTTCAAAACGAAGTACCAGTTTGCCCCTGCTCCGTCATCCACCCCAAACGGTGTTAAACTTTGTAGAAAAGGACATAAATGCCCATACGATTTTGCCCTGTTTGTTATACCTAATTATGATTTTACCCTGATTTGGAATTAGATTTTTTATTGTATGCTGACAATTGATTAAATTTGGTCAAACACATTTGGCACAACTTGCAATTATTTGAACTCAGATTTAATATTGATAAATATTCAAAATTTTGGGATCAAATGGTTCATAATGATGATAGATGTAACGCCATAAGAAATATTTCGATATAATCTTTTGTGTGGGACCAAAAATCTTTAATGTATAAGAATGCATGTAGAACATCGGTTCACAAACTGTATAAGTAAATGCATGCACTTCCTCTGCTTCTGCGATCCTGACCAGAGAGGCCCTTCCGGAGGGATCTCAGCAACGGTGACCAGAGAGTAGAGCTCTTCCTGGCGTCTTCCTCATCATTCCTCTTGCGTGCGATCCTGACACGGACGCGCCTCGGCACATTCCGGATACCACTGCTCCAGACGTGCTTGTTGAGCTTCACATCGATCCTGACGTCCGTGGTGCCCATTGGGGGCTTTCTTCTTGAAGGTGCTGCAGGAAATCAGGATGAGCTGCCAGTTATTGATAATTGGTTTGAAACAAGTGGCATATCAGCATATATGTAATCTATATGCAGACTGGAGAAACATTGTGCAAGGACGGAGAACATGAAAAATCATATCAGAGATAAAGCATCAAAAATTGAACAAGACAAAGGACTAATGAAACACAGAAAGTGAAAGGACATCCAATGGTCCTGTGCTGCCCCTTGTGCTCTACTAAAAGCATGTGCAAACAACCATCCAGCTTATGAAACACAAGTGAAAAGACAGTGTAATCAAGGAACGTAGGGCACAAACGACAGCAGCACACTTGTACAACACAGGATGCAGCTTCAAAGCATGATTCACAATTCAGAAGACCCCACAAAAACAAAACAATGTACCAGAAAAGGAACAAACGAAGTGAGCATCAAATTAGAGATATTTCCTGCCCAAATGGAACACATGGCAGCATGTCAAGAGCCAACACATGTAACGATGAGCAGATTCCACTCTGCCGGGCATGTAACTGTGCACAGCCACATGTTTAAAAAGACAGGCACCTGACTATACCCGGAAACTAGTAAACTACATATTCAAACAAGGAGTTGCAACATAATCAGCGCGCAAGTCCAATTGCAGCACACTAGCTCAACATCTATATACAGGCCAACCAGAAAATGTGTAGGTAAACAAAGAACAAAGCAAGATCTGACCTTTGTGCCAGCAGGCATGTGATTTCATCGATATATAAAATATCTTGCTTGCTTGCAGTTGGCTCGCCTAATTGTGATATCCAGAACAAAACTGATAAACCTCATGTATTGAGCACGTTGACAGAATAAGACAATACACCAGCACCTCATCATGGAACAAAAGGCACAATTTTTTTTTTTTTGGATGAAACAGGAGGGGTTTTACCCCCTACTGGAATTTTATTAAAAATAACAAATTATTGCTATTTGTATGGTACAAAAGGCACAAATTGCTGCTATTTGTCTTGCTAACAATCTGGGATATATATACCAAGATGCAGCAGGTAAGATATATATACCAAGATGCAACAGGTATCACAACGAATGTAACTGGCAGCAACGCATCTTCCATGGGGACACAAACAGCAGTATCATACTTTTACAACAGAAAACAGAAGTCCTAATACCAGAGGTATCTGGACAAAACGTGACAAACACATCGGTGAAGTCCGCGCCCGCCAAGAAGCCATCCAAGGTAAGATCCGTCGCCAAGGCGCCTGCCGGCAGCTCGGCCAACGCGCCACCATCCGGCGCGGCCGCTCGCGGCGCCACGGTCGCCAACCGGAGCTTGCGCGGCGGATGGCCATGGCCCTCGCGGCCGGCCATGGCGCGGCCAGGGCCAAAGCCTGCTCGGGTTGGGGGGGCGGGGGCAGCCGTGGGCGAGCGTGCCAGCCGGCGGCGGGCGCGCGACCGGAGCAGCTCCGGCACAGCGGCGGCCTGATTTCCTGCAGCACCTTCAAGAAGAAAGCCGGGTGCCCCGAGCCACGCCGAGAAGAGACCCGCCGGGAGCCGCAGACGGGAGCCGCGGAGACCCGTTGCCAGGCGCTACCGGGAGCCGCGTCCAGGCACCGGAGCCGCCCGCTCCGCCCGCCCTGCAGCTATCCCAGAGGTGCCCGACTGGAGCAGCAGATGGTGCGGCCGCGACCACAATAGAAGCGGGGGCGGGAAGCGGCGGTGAGGCCCCAACCAGCGCCGGCGCGGCCGCGAGCCGGGAGGGGTCGGGCGGAGCCCACCGCAGAGCCGCTGGGCGCCCGGCCCACTGCGGTAGCGAGTTTGGGGAGGAGCGGGGCGAAGTGAGGATGAGCTGCGCCGCCGAGATGAGTCAGCGCCGCCGCGGTACTCCTCAAACCCTAACACGAGCGAGCCGCCCGCCGGAGTGTGGCGGAGGGAGGAGGAGACGCGCCGGGGGGGGGGGAGCAGGAAGGAGGGAGGATGAGCCACGCCGGGGAGGAGCGGGGAGGGAGGAGGAGCTGCGCCGCTGCCAGGCCGCGAAACCGAGCCACGACTTCTCGTCGGGAACGGGTCGAGCGAATGGGCGAGAAAGGAGAAAGAGACTGAGGGGTATCATTGTCTTTTCATGTAGGTGTCTTTTCTTTTTCTTTTTCTTTTAACCATTTAATCCAAGCATTTTAGACGGTGTTACAAAGCAGGGGTAGACGGGAGCTTCGTTCGAAAAAAAGCGAGGGTAAAATTACAAAGTTAAAAAAAGAGGGGCAAAATCACAATTGGAGTAATGGACAAGGGCGAGAACGCAATTTTCCCAATAAAAAGATATCTTAAAATGGGGCAAACAACTATTAGTGTTCGCCAAATATTGCTGCAGGAGTGCAGGTTTCCGTGCCTATCACCATGGCAACAAGTGCCTATCTCCGGTACTTCCAATAATGCATTCAGATGGGGGCCGAAGTGCACAGGCTGCATTTATTTACAAGGCCCGAGATTAAATTGAAACAGAGATGTCTAACTGTAAAGAATCATGTGACAATAGTGATGGCTAACTGGGAGCAATCATATGATAATAACCCGACCTGCCTAACTGTGATGACGCAGCAACATGCCATGAACCAAATCCAAATGTAGGTTGCGTTCCTTTTTATAGAGGCTGTCAGACCCAAAAGGAAACTGCAGTTCAGGTTCAGCCATATGCGAGCTGATCAAAGAGACCTCCAGTTATAACAGTTAACACCAGTGCAACCATAGGCTCATAGCACGTCTGTATCTTACTCCTATCCCCCGTTAACTGTCGCCGTTGGTTTCGTGCCGAAAGTTTAACTCGATTTGTAGAAAATACATGTAACATTTGTATCTTCAAATAAATTTATTAAAAAAATAGATTCAAATATCTATCTAATGATATTAATTATGTATCATAGATATTAATATTATATATATATAGTCAAAGTTGTTTCTCGGGAAACCAAACGATAGATATTTAGGGACGGAGGGAGTAGTTCTTTCTCACATTCTTCATCCAAGTACTACTTACTTCCTCCGTCCTAAAATATCTATCGTTTTCGTTTCCTGAAAAACAACTTTCACAAATTATATATTAAAAAATATTAATATTTATGGTACATAATTGGTACCATTAGAAAAATCTTTGAATCTAGTTTTTTTAATAAATTTATTTAGAGATACAAATTATCGGGTTCATAAACCCGGGGTCCCTAATGGGCCCGCTTCCCAGCAAAAGCTCGGCCCGGTAGACGATGTTGCAAACGACGCGCAACTCCTGGGCCGGCCCAGATACATAAACGACAGGCCAGAAGAGCGATCCAGTCTCCGACCGGAAGGCCTGACCAAGGAGGGGCGACGCTCGCTTCCGACTCCGACCCGCTTCTCCGACCAAAAGGCCTGGCCAAAGAGGCGCGACGCTCGCTTCCGACTCCGACCCGCTTCTCCGAACGGGAATACACCGAACCACTGCTTACGGCTCTTCTCCGACCGACGCGGTCAGAGCCAACTGGGAACGACCGCCCGGGGACGCCCGCTCGGTGAGGACCCAAGAAATCAGGCGGAGCAGATAAGGTGAAGCGCTCAAGTCAAACCGCAATACCGAGGACCGTACCCTGCACGCCTACAGGACAGTACTGACAGGCCATGCCAGAAAGGGTGTTTTGCGACCTTTCAGACATGTCAGAACACATACAGTGTTGTAGGCGCCGACATTTGTCCTACAGTATGGTAGGCGCTGACATTTGCCATACTAGAAGAGCACGATGAAGCCTGCCACACGCATCTGGGCGTCAACAGTATTGTGGGCGCCGATAAACTGTCTTGTACCCGACGGCGTGGGCAATAAGTCTAGGCCCCGTTCGGCTTATTGAATCTTGGCTGAAATTAGCTGAAAAACATTGTTCTGACTGAAATGTTGTGAGAGAAAAACACTGTTCTGGCTGAAAAATAAGCCGAACAAGCCGAATATTGGGTAAGCCGAACGGGGCCCTAGGAAACACACACACTCTCTCTCTCCTAACTTGTAAGGCCGTCCCCTTCATCTATAAAAGGGGATACGCTCTCTCCTAAAAGGAGGACGAACGAACGGATCATTCCGACTCGCTCTCTGCTAAGCTTTAGACACTCTGAGTAATCGAACAGCTCCACAGCTCTAGAACTCTAAAGCTACATAGAGCATACGTTTCAATACTTAGCGCACGTAGGAGCTCCCGTCACTCTTGGCCCTTCGGTCCAGAGTCCGATCGGACCTCTAACACCCCAATCTTATTCCCACTCGTTTGTAGCCCCACAGCAAACTTTGAGCACCTGGGCTCAGAAATAAAGTCACCGACCGACTCAAACTGGACGTAAGGCACATTGCCTGAACCAGTATAAACCCTGTGTCATTGAATGATAGGCCACATCCGATCACAACGTATGGCAAAACGACAAATATTTATTTGTTGGTCACTTTTCGCACCGACACAAATGTTGCACGCATTTTCTACAAACCGAGTCAAACTTGCGGCACGGAAACCAAAAGCGACAGATAATTTAGGACAGAGGGAGTAACTTCATAATTTAAAAAAAAGTTCTACCACGCATTTATATGCTGCTCATTAGCATCTATATTCTATTTGACTGAGTTACAGTTCTTAAAGCACAAAGGATAGGGTACGATTTCTTAACTAAAGTAATCAGGTAGTTCCCCGTGCATGTTGAGGCGATGGACGCTTATTTAAATTTGAATACATCTTCTCGTCTAGTCTCAACTTGTTTCAACTTATTCTCTCTCACACAACACTATTGAATCAGCCGAAATCAGCCGTCCACATCTTCCAAACTGGATCAGCCGAACACCCCCTATGGAGCTCAGTGTAACTTCTAGAGTGGTTAGTTTCATTTAGTTGAACATTATCAGATCTAGTCTTTTAGAAGTCCAAACAGTTACTACAATACACAACACGCGCCAACTGATGATTACAAAAGAGGGAAGAGAGTAAATACTCACATAATGTACAAATAGTGATTGCCCCATAATAAGAATACAAAATAATGCAAATAAGCAGGGATAGCAGGTATCAGTAAAATATCAATGCTAACCGTATACTTCTGCTTCTGGTTTTATTCTTTCCAATAGCTTTTCAGCTTCTATAAACCCCCCTAAAGGTCCTAGAGGGGTATATTTTACTTGCCTCCAACTGTCATATAAAGCGGCACAAATAATTTTAGATGGCAATTAAAGCTCTGATTCAAAGGATCAATCTTACTTTACCTGGGGATAAATGGCAGTGCCAGGCAATGAAGATGAAGGTGATCAACACTATTAAATGGGGGCTGATGGAACCCAAACCTACAATGCAGACTACATATGTAAGAGAAATGACAGTAAAAATATTGAATAAGTATCTTGACTCTTGAGATATACTCCCCCTGTTCCATATGGGCTTTTGAAATACCTGTGTTCCTCAGAATTGGGAGCATCTTGATTGAGCAAGTCTTTCCCCACCTTCACCATGTGGCTGACTGAAAGACAACAATAAAAGAAATGCAACAGCTCACTCTTCAAGTCTGGCTTGCACTACGATGCATAGTGAAATGCAACATCAAGCCGCGATCATATGATGAAAGAAGCCAGAGAGTACCCACCTAACTGGTGATCATCTTTGGTTTTGTGGAGGCTATTTACAGTTGGTATATGATCAATGGGTATGACAAGATAGTGCCTACAAATATCACACAGCACAATACATCACAAAACAAATATTCAGGCAAATAAATTGGGCATTTACAACGGCAGAAGTACAAGCTCTCAGAAAAAATAATATAACAACGAAGGCTTATAGTCCCAAGCAAGTTGGGGTAGGCTGGAGATGAAGCTGAACAAGAACAAAAAAAAAATGAACAAAGCAGAATGAGGTACTAAAAGTAGTAATAATGAATCAATAATTTCTTCTGGCTGTGAATAGGAGAACCGAGCTCATGTTTAGCCCTATGAGTAAATCATGTGAAAATTCGCTCTAGCATGTCTAACGCTTATCAAACACAAAACCAGCAAGAACCACAAGAAGACTTCAACGTATCATGCTGTTTGCATAACCATCATGCATCATGTGCTTCTCACAAATTATTATGTTTCAATTGTAAACCAACTATGTCATTGCTACATGAAACTAGAACACTCAATTATAAAGATATACAGTATGTTGTCCTAGATATGTACTACATGAAACTAGAACACCCAATGACCCAATCATAAGATATATAGTATGTTGTCCCAGATACATAGTAAAATTTATGATACTTTCTTGTGCAAATATTCCTTTCCTGACAACTTATTGCAAGGAAGTGTGATGCTTCTGCTCATATGAATGCAGAAGTTCATATAGATAAACATGAGCCTGCGTATAGCACCTCAACACTACTACTAGTAGCCCTCCAATGTCCAAAGGAGCACTTATGAGTTAGTGTTTGACAGGATACCCAAACTCATATAAGTAACAATTAAGGTGAGACTGGTAGCCAAAGGGCGCCTAGTTCAAACGGTTAGGTGACCCAGCGGCACTCCTCAGGTCCTGGGTTTGACTCCCCGTGGGAGCAAATTCCAGGCTGAGGTTAAAAAAATCCCCTCGCCCGTCCTCATGTGCCAAAGCGCAATGGAAGGCTCCGGCCCGGTTCTCACAGGGTTACGGCACCACCTGCGTCAGGATTGGGGCAGGGGTTCGGGGGTTTTCTCGATCTGTGTGAGAAGATCTTCTTCTTATTAAGAAAACCCGGGGGCCGTCATAATCCCCCGCAGGTCGAGTTTTTTTTTTTTTTTAAGGTGAGACTGGTATAGATGGTCAGAAAAAATGCCAGCTGATGTGTCTGTGAAAGTGAACGAAAACAATGGAGACATAATCTATAACAAAGGTAAAGTTCTGAGGACAACCATGAATAGCTTCACTGCTTCAGGATCACATAGATACTTTGAAGTTAGAAGAAATGACAAGCTTGGGAGGGCTTAAGGCAATGAATTAAGTGAACGATTACAGTCACACAGAGAACGTAGCAGCCTAGCACACAGAAAAATAAGCTCCAATCGAATACTTCCACCATTCCCTACAAAAAAAAAAAAAAAAAAAAAAACGCATTGCTTGCAATGCTCGCCAGATGTTCGACGAAATGAACCTACGCCTTACTTCATCCGACTGACTCGTAACACGACATCAAGACCTATCCAAGCAACAGAGAGCTATACAAACGAACAACAACTCCTCAGCATGTACCTGAACGCCGACGGGTTGATGTCGCGGAACGCCACGACCTTGTCATCCTGCGCACACGGAGAAAAAAAACAAAAAACAAAAAACAAAGGGGATTTACATTTTCTGCAGCGAAAGCAGCACTAGATCGGAGGTGGTACATGGGGACAGCGGTACGGAACGGAGTAGAGGAGAGCGGTGGTGGAGGTGGGGGCGTGGCTGGCGATGTCGCAGAAGACGCACCCGTCGACCATTGGCGCCCGCTCCGACATCCTCCTGGCCAAGCGGCTGCCCCCGAAGCAGAAGGTCTTCCTCATGGCGCCCCCCACCACCGCGGGTTGGTTCGGGATTAGTAGGTGGGAGTGGGACTCCGCCCGACGCGGGGTGGACTTGACCGATTCAACAGCGACGCTCCCGGACGCGGCGGCCGGCTCGGGGTCCGGGATGCCGCCGCCGTGTCGGTCGTCGGAGCCGAGGGCTAGTTTAGGCTTCGCCGCGTGTGTGATTCCATGGCCCAGGAACTGAGGCCGGTTCGGCAGTTAGATATGGGCGTCCGTAGGCCCACTTAATGGTACTGGGCTGGGCTCAATGAGCAGCCTCTTGAGGCCCTCTGAGGCTCTGACAACAGTATGTTGGGATTTTCCTTCTCCGTTTGTGGTACTAGTATAAATTGTATAATATAATGTATTGGTCAACCGCATAAACATAAACTGTATATAACTGTTGAATGTTGATGAATATATACGGAGTAAATGCTAAGGATGGAGTGAGGAGTCTTCCCAGCATTACGTAGGATGTACTAGCAAATTTAATTTTCACTTGTATCTAAGGAGGATTGAACAGGACTGTACCACTTGACACGCAACGAAACTTAACAAGGAACGGTTCCATGGCGCCGGAGTTTCAGCAACCGTGAGCCACCACGAGTTGTCAAGAACTTGACGAGACCGGCAGGTTTGAACGTCCGGCGTGGAACGTGAGGAGGTCTGTACTACACGGCTCCTTGTCGGTCCATACTTACGACGGACTCAGCCACATGGAGGAAATGCCGACGTCATATATATATATATATATATATATATATATATATATATATATATATATATATATATATATATATATATATATATATTTTTTCTACTGTTAGGGAGTAGTTACTCCCATGTATATATCTCTAGATTTAGAGCGTATATGGCCCAACGAAGTGTACGTAGATGGAGTATATCATCGTACTAGACCATATACGATACTATGTATGACAAATATGTATGTATACTTAAAGTATATGGTTATACTTATTTTATATGCTACTATCATAGTATTATATAATATATTAAAAAATATGTGTTTTAAAAAAAAATCATATAGTAAAATCTAGAGTATCTTAATATTAGTTTGTCAACTTACTTAAACTGATACATACGCAACGTGATTTATTGATTATGAGAGTATATAAAATGCATACACACTATAATATGGAAAACCAAAGATGTGCACGCCAGAAACGGCGGATTAATTAGTACCTCCTGACCTCGTTGCTTGGCTTCGGATCACTTTTCGTGTGATGGTTGCCCACGCAGGACGATCAAGGTTTTATCTCACTTTTCTATATATTGTCCAGTGCATATCCTTGAACTTTTGGGGGTTGGGACATGTGACATGCATGTCCACGACCTTGTTGACTTTCCGCCTCGTGCAACTCGATCATAACCTGCAGACTTGACCAAGGTTGAAGACGTCCACGCGTCGCCATGGGCGGCGGTTGATTGGAGATGGTATTCACAGAGACCACACGGTTCCTTCTTGAGCTTAGCTTGTTCGTGCATGGCCACGTAGATTTCTTGCGCACGCCTGTGGAGCACCAAAATGTTTGAATTCTTGGGATCATGTATAAAATACAGTACATTTGCGCTGACAATTCAGATGACCATGGCGAGTACGTACAGTACCGTTTTATCGTAAAAGAAAATCTCCTAGCTAGCTCGTCGAGCACAAATACACAAAGTTAACTTGTCTACATACTCCATAACGTTGTCATCGGCGCACGAACCTTCGTCGGTTGATCTAAAAATCCACCGGCCACATATAAATCACAGCGTTTTGTCAACACAAACGTCCTAGTCCCTTTCGCGGTACAGCGCGGCCTGGTGCGCACGGATCCATCGAGTCGAGGGAAACAGCGTCATTGTGTTGACATGACATCTCCAGGCATCCGACGTCGCAACTCGCTCGAAGCCTTCTCAATTTTTTACCACAGCCTACACATGCGATAACATGACATCTCGCCAAGTTTCGTGATTTTCGGACTTCGTATGGATTTTATATAATTTTAAAACACTTTTCCGGCAAGTCGGTCGTCATGTTACGCGAACAAGATGCGTGAAAATTTGATGCGAGATCGTGGATAGGGACTCAACATGCACCAATTAACATGAATAACATTTTTCAAAACACTACATTGCAATATTCCATGTACCTGCAGTTCAAATTTGACATATTCGAAAAAAATCAAAGAATCGAAATAAATTAAGAAAATATACAAAACAAAATCAATATTTGACCTAAATTTTAAAATTGAGTTCAAAACAATGTATTGTATCACCACAAAAAAACCGGGCTAAAAAAACCAAAAAAAAAATTGCGAGGGCCTGGCCCGTGGCCCTCGGCAAAGAATTTTAAAAAAAAGATAAAAAATCTTTGCCGAGGGCCGTGGATCTGGACCCTCGGCAAAGGACCGAACCCTAAATCGGGCCGCAGCCCAAATTCTCGATCGGAAATTGTGAAAAAAAACGCTCGACCATCTCTCTCCCCACGCTTCATTGCCATCAGCCCCCCCTGGCCCACACCACCGCCACAGCCTTCCCACACTGCCATGCTCACATTTCTTCTTTGGTAGCTTGGCCACCCCGCCCACCATTTCCTTCACCACACACACTGCCAGCCCCCCACCCCCCCACCACCACCATACCTAGCCCATAGCATACACTCCACACACACACCTGTAGCCACACCCCTCCCCACCCACTGCCTGCCAGCCACCCTACCACGCCCACCACGGCCAGCGGCCGAGGTCGCTCGCCTCCGCTCCCGTCTCTCCGTCGAGCAAGGGAGGTCGACCGCCTGGCCGGCCTCCGGCTGGCTCCCCTCGCCGACCTTCCCACCCGACCCCAACCCCCAGGCCGCCCGTCTCATGCAGCGGCTTTGTTGGAGGGAGGAGGCAGAGGGTGAAGTTGGAGGAAGAAGAGAAGGAGAAGAGGAGAAGGAGGAAGGGGAAGAAAAGGAGAAGAAGAGGAGAAGGAGGAAGGGAAGAGAAGGAGAAGAAGGGAAAGGAGAGAAGAAAGGGAAGAGGGGAGAGGAGTACTCCAACGCCGCCGACCTCGCATGGAGAAGGAAGTGACCCCGCACGCGGACGCCCGACTCCACCGCAACCCTAGGTAAAACTCGTTGTTGGCCTTCCCGCCAGTATGTGGTTGTGTGGGCCTTCGTTCCGTAAGTTGATATGAGGGCCTTCGTGCCGTTGTGGTTGTCGGCCTTCATGCCGCTGTGAATGTCGGCCATCGTGTCGCTTTTTTGCAGTTTTGGAAACCTCCCGTGCGAGAGTGCTGCCGAAATTTTGAACAAAAATAACCTATTGTCTTTTATGCGGAGAAGAGTACGTCGGAGGGGACCCGGAGGACCCGATCGTCTTCGTCGACGTCAGCGATTCTGCTCAGCAACTCAAGTCGCCGCCTCGCCACTGTGTCGATTCACCACTGCCTCGCTAGCCTTACTTCACCGACACCCTAGGTATAAATAACCTCTTTTTGCGCATGTCTGTCGTAGCCCGCGCGTAACCCAGTTAGGCGTCTCTCGTCCAAAAGAGATACGGTCGTAGGTATGCGGATCTTTGCGTATCTGCGACCGTATCTGTTTTGGATTGTCCACGTTTTTTGGACAGCCCGTGGATGCGTAGATGGGTTAGTTTCCATGGTCCGCTCTGGTCCGAGAAGGAGTTTCGGCAACACCTCCCTATTGTTCTCCGGATATACACTCTCCCTTGCAGGACGTGTATCGGGAGAACAGCGGGGAGGTGCTACCAAAATTCTATCTCGGAGAGGAGCGGGGCATGGAAACTGACCTCATCTACGCATCCGCGGGTGGGATTAGGACCTATCCTCACCTATTAGACAGTAGGAACACCGCGTAGATGCAATTGATGGTCACAATACTCTATGCTGTAAATGTTAAAGGATGGAGGACCGTCGCTTGGATGTACATGGGGTGGAGAAGCGGGAGTGACTACGACTATGAATGGGTGAAGGGACATATGGTTTCTTAAAACATGCATTTGGCCCAGAGCGGGAGGACATTCTCTAGTTTGGTGTCCCTGCAAAGAAAATGTGACAACAGGAGAAAAGTAGACGAGAAGACCATGGGAAGACATCTTGTGTTCAATGGTTATACGCCTAGCTACCAAAGATGGATCTACCATGGTGAAGCGGATCGTATAAGAGCGGAGGTGGTGAGAGCACGCCTCGAGGCTTTTGATGATGATGTCGGGGTAGCGAGACATGCTAGATGACGCCACCAAGCTCACTTGACTGAACGACGTGAGAAGGAGGAGATGGATGAATCCACAAAGGACTTCTACAAAATGTTGGACTCGGCACAAAAACCCCTTCATGAGCGTACAATGATTTCTCAGCTAGATGCGATTGGACGTGTAATGGGGTTGAAGACCGAGTTAAACCTGAGTCGAGAAGGCTTCGATAAGATGTTGGCCGTGTTTGCCACCATGCTACCAGAGAAGCACACTTTGCCGACGAACTTGTACGAGGCAGAGAAACTCCTTCGTATGCTTAAGATGTCGTATGACAAGATACATGTTTGTCCGAAGGGGTGCGTCCTATTTAGGAAAGAACACAAGGATGCAAATTACTGTCCGAAGTGTAAATCCTCCAGGTACCTGGAGATAGACTCTGGTGATGGTCAGAAGAAGCAGCTTCCGATCCCCGCGAGAGTGCTATGTCACCTTCCTTTCCTACCGAGGATCCAACGGCTATTCATGACTAAGGAATCCACGAAACAGATGACATGGCACAAAGATAGCAAACGGTACAATCCTAGGAAGATGGTACATCCGTCTGATGCTGAAGCATGGACGTATTTCAATGACAAACATCGTGACAAAGCAGCTGAGGCTCGTAATGTACGTGTCGCGCTGGCAACAGATGGGTTCAATCCTTATGGAATGATGGCTGCCCCATACACATGCTGGCCCGTTTTTGTTATCCCCCTCAATCTCCCTCCCGACATCTCCTTTCAACGGCATAACGTA